ATTCCTTATATGGGTTGTTAACTTATTATCTTTGCAGTAATATAAAATAGCTCTAGTCTCCATCAAATGTTCAAATAACAACGAAAGTTAAGTCTCATCTTCTGTTGTGAGCTTTGTTTTAACTTTTTGATTGAAAAAAATTAAAATCCTCTTTTCTTGACGACAGTCGTCATGCACGAGACTGTCGAATTCAATTGAGCAAAGTTTATATTTTTGTGGTAACAGTTTAAGATAGCTGATCTTTCATAATGTTTCAATGAGGTTAAAGAATTTGGAAACACACTTCAAACAAGAATCTCTACCATTAAAGGGAAGTATATGTACTGTACTATGTATGCAACAGTGGGATTTTAGGGGTCTCAAAGCCTTCCGAAAAAACATTCAGAGATACTCTGAGAGTCGAAGTATAAAACAGAAAGTAGGCACCAACACTTTTCCTATTTAGCCTCTTCGGCTTTATTATGCAGAATTCTCCTGATTCTCTTGGTTTTTGTTCCTTCAATAACAATAACAAACATCATTATGAAACTAAAAAAAACTAAAATTTGGTAAATAGCAAGATCCATGTTCTCAAACTTACTGATTATCAGAGCAGCCCAAATCACAACGGTGAATGTTTTCCAACCATCGGCAGTGTTATCTCTAAAAATCTGAATTGCTAGAAGAACCAATCATTACCATACATCACATTCTTAAGCTCGAATCGGACTTTCATGCCATCAAGCGTACTGGCTTCAATTCTTTTATTCATATCGCGACGAGATAAACCAATTAGTAATAAATCCTTCCCGTTTGGATGAACAGAACGATCCTGTTCAGAACAGTCCTGCTTGCTACGATAATTCGGAACAAAATCAAGAGAAATTTTCCATTTTACCTATTAAAGATAAACTCTTTGATATTATATTGCAAACTTACACCTTGATCTGTGTTGAATATTAGGGAATCCAATTGAATGCGATAATTCTCGCCTTCTCGAACTCTTCAGGAACAAAATATATGTTAAACAAGAAAATCATACCTGTACAAAGATTGGCCTTCTTTGATAATTATAGAAGTTATGTTGATTTCGGCACACGGGTCATTTTCAGCTCCTTGCAGCTTTGTTTTCTCGTCTTCTTCAGTTTTTAACAAAACCTTTTTACATTTAGCAAGTTCAAAACAATCCAACTTCTGACGATCATTCGCGCAAGACTTTTCTTCAATATAGACACCCATACCTTTATATGAAGTGATTTTATTTATCTTATTGAAAGAGCTTTTCCAGGACTAAAAAATTATTTTCGAAATTTGAATTAGCCTACCCCACCTCTATCTTAGTATGAATCATCAATGAGTCAAGAACAGTTGAATACAACGGAATCCCTGCATCCATATAAGGAGATACGGAGAAAAAATTATTCAAGTTTTCTGGTGACACCTGAGAAATAAAATGCTCTATTATACTCTGCCACCTCCAACCTTCCGCTTCGGGTCTAATTTTTTGATAGATAAATATCCTTTTCGAATTTTTTTGGAAAACACAGATTTACTAAAGTTGGAATGAAAGCTAGATTAAAAACTAATGTAAAAATATATACCAGTTTTTCATAGAAGCATACAGTCCACAGAGTTCGTGGGAGCAGCAGCAAGCAGAACAACAGCCAAATTTTTCCCAGGACACTTCAATCTGCAGTTATTAAACAAGATTACAAAGCTTTCAGAAGAGTTGCGTACTTTGATGTTTCCCTCAACATCTTCATATGGAATATAACTAGAGTCCCAAGCTTCAAACCGCTGATGATTCATTTTACCTAGAACAAGAACAAGTTAAAACATTCACAATCATTTGTTTGATCACCGTTTTTGATACGGTCAACTTTGACCATAACTCCTGTATCCATATAACTATTGTCAATATCCTGGACGAAAATAAGAACTTTCTACTTGGTACCATCTGCTTACAACTAAACAACGGAAATGCATTTTTCCTCCATAAAATATTTCCGGGAAATCTGTGTCTTGCAGCCTATCTTTATTGACAAATTCCTTCATGAGTAGATGTAAAGGTAAAACCTAAACAGATGGAAGAAGTGAAGAAAGAAACAAGAAACTTGTAATCTTCCTCCTCTATCATCTAGAAGAGGTGAAAAGTTGGCATATGAATAGCTGAACAATTGCAATAATGCGTGGTGGACGTTCCGATATCCTTGAAAAGTTGTATATACTTCTCACTGTTTGTCTAGCTCACTGCTTCCTAATAAATGAGGGTCAAGCGTCAGCAACGAAAAAAAAGCTGAATCGAATGTCCGCGATCGTGTGGGCTCTCTATGAAAGTTTGTAACCATGTTCGGTATGAAATCACTGGAAAATCAAAATAACCACATATAGCCGACGTTTGTACTTAATCCAATTAATGTAAATAGTAGCTAGGCTTCCCGTGAGATTTTTCAAACACGTCAAACACGGAACCTGAAGTTAGAAAAATAGTTCTCTGTAACTTCACTTCAAACTTAATTCAAAAGGAAGACCCGGAAATGTATAGATTTGGAAAATTCTATTACCAAATAGCTCTTGATAATCATGGCCACAGCTCAAGATAATACATTCTAGAGGTTAGAAGTTCTCCCTTACATGTTGTCACCTGCGTATTCTACTCGACGATGTAATGGGTTAGATTGAAGAAAAGAACTGTAGCCGTCGAGATTGAGGAAAGGATGACTCGATTGATGCGGGACATCAGTTGAAAATTTGAACGGAGCATCGGCACCTTGGAAATAATTCAAACTGTCGTTTAGGGCAAATGCTTTTTCGCTGGAAATAATTTTAACGATGGTCCTTATAAACACGCAAACTTGTCAACATTAACGGCTCCGCCATAATCCATATTACCATGGTATAAATCATATGGAAATTTCGCTTGGAGGAAGAGTTTAGATCTCGCACGTATATCCAAGTCTCCTCTCTCGTACAGTTTTTCGATATCTTGAAGTAATTAATTCGAATAGGATGATTAATATGGTTACTTGATATCACAACCGACGGGTCCAAGCAAAAGCTGAAACCATAAATACCATTGTTAAATTATCTTGATACTAACCAAGAATTCCAGAAAAGAATTAAAAACAACCACATGTTGAGAGGGATTTTGAATTAAATGACGCGCTCCGCATCCGTCCACATTAGAATATTTGAAATAAGAAAGATTGCTTAACTGTACTAATATATTGCGATGTGTGTTGCTTTACCAGGAGAAGTTAACCCACATTTTTTCTATATAGTTTTCATTTATTCGATTTCCCTGTACTAGACTTCTACATTGAATCCGAATAAATCAGTTTCTTCATATTCTTCTTCTCATATGCCTTGATCACCACTGATACCACACATGATGAGAGCAACTACGCTTTCGATGTTTTAGCTCTTTGACTTAAATGGAAAGTAGCTCAAGTCGCACGATTCGAAAAAAGAATTCTAGTCGAGTTTCGAGTTGAACTCAAATACAAAAGCCGATTCGAGTTCCGAGTTGAACTCGAATACAAAATTCGATTCTAGTCGAGTTTCGAGTTGAATTCGAATTTAAAAATCCATTCTCCAGTCGAGTTTCGATTTCATTTGCATACAAAAATCAAGTTACTCGAGTCGAGTCGAGCCAGGCCAAGTATAATTTATATGCTCTCTTTTTGCGTATTTCGCAATACAATTTTGAGTCAGACGGCTTTTTCCATAGCACAGAAACGTAGCGATGCGTACATATTAAGCTGAAATATTTATCACATTACTTCGTGCTCAAATTTCAATTTTCTTAAAATATTTCGAATGAAATTATTGAAAATCTTCTTTTAAGTGAATTTCGCACTTTATAATTAGTTATTCTCAGTATGAACCGTATCTTGGCAGCGCGAAGCTCTTTTGCATTCTTGCGCACTTCGTCAAATATTGCAAAGCCACCAGCAGGATCCCAATCCACTGCTGTTTTTGATACTAAAACTCACACTGGCCAGGTAAACAATTTTTGAAACGTTTTTCATTAGAATTTTTTCAGGCTTGGGATAGCAAAGATTACAGACTTCAACGTTTCGACACTGCCCAAAAACAAGTGAGCACTTTTTTGTTGTTGATTTACTAATTCTAGTTTCTCAAAGGTTAATCCAAATGTTGCGATGAATTTGGTAGCGGAACGTCCAGCACAAGATTGTGGACACGAACGTGTTGTCTATTGTGACGGAGGTCATCCTGCCTTAGGTCATCCTCGCGTTTTCATTAATCTTGTACGGCGATATAGCTTCCACGCTTTTTTTTTATAGCGTATATTTAGGATAAGCCTGGAGTTCACGCATGTGGGTATTGTGGAAATCGTTTCTATAACTCGCATGTCACAAAGGGAGAAGACCTAGAAACGCATCATCTTAACTGCTAGTGATTAGAATACTACAAGGCGTACAATAAATAGTTTATAAACCATACAAAGACTTTTCAACCCATGATCACCACATGAAAATCACGATAAACTATTTCATAGTGAAGAATTGATGTTTCAAAGCTTCTCCACAAGTGATCCTTTTGGAAGGCTCAAGTATCAACATTTGTTCTACTAAAGTCTTGAAAGCCAACATCTGCACAAAAAAGTTTATAAGGATAGAAACGAAGAAAAGAACCTGCTGCATCCCATCTTTGTCCAGGTCTTGCCTTCCCATGAGTTCGGATTCAAGATTTCTAGTGATCTTTATATTTGTGAGAACAGTTATCTGAAAACTCTCACTCATTAACTTTGAGAATATCTGAAAAGACTAGCCTTATCTCTCTGAGTGACTTTGTCAATTTCATGATACAGCAAGTTACAGTTTGAGTCGAAATGTTGATCCTTAAACTGAGCTTTCCTCACAAGTTTATTAGGGAATTTGCCTTTAACTTCCGTGAAAAGCTGAAAAAAAATGAGGCTTCATGATTGAGCAGAGTAGATACCTTTAACATATGGTTGTTGGTTTTACCGGGAAACATAATTTTTCCAGTATAAACTTCATACAGCGTTACAGCAACAGACCAGAGATCCATGCCATAATCATGAGGGATTCCCAGCACTGAATATCAATATTTAACGAAGCAAAGAAAGTATTCTGTTACTAATTTCAGGAGCTCGATAGAACCTAGATACTAGATAAGGAGCTATTTCTTGATCATGGATATGTCCTGCTGAACCAAAATCGCAGAGTTTTAAAGAAAGTTTCGATTCATTCACCTACAAAAAGCGACATTAGCCGAGAAGTAGTGAAGAACTCACTAGTATGTTATCTGGTTTGATATCTGCATGGATTAAACTACATTTTTTCAACAGTCGTAAGGCTAGTAATAATTGTTGTGCATAACTTCTCACAGCTTTCATGTGTAACCCAACGTTGTTTCCATACTTTTTCAAAACTTCACGTAAATTCATACTAAGATACTATCATTTGAGAAACCAATAACCTCTGTGGGGAACTCACTTTAAATTTTCAAACACCAAACACAGGTGATTATGATGATTGAACGTACGGTAGAGTCTCAAAACATGGAATCTATCTTCTTTATCAGCTTCGTTCAACTTTCTGAGTACCTCCAACTCTCGAACACCAGTTTTCCGCCTATAAGGAGATGTATCGGTAAGTGCGACGATACCAAAATCCTCACATGATTTCATTGTTACGGATTATTTTTACAGCCACAGTATTACCGTGATTTTGATCAGTACATCTCACAACGTTTCCAAATACTCCTGCACCAGTGTATCCAAACACACGATATCTCTGATCTAGAAGTTCCCCGACTCTAACTCCTGTAAAAAACGTACGTATAAATATAAAACCAGCATCGTTGATAACTTACTGTAGTAACCTTCAGTATCATCCCAGTTATCTCGTAAATTATCATTTGTTTGGCCGTGATGGTTACTGACCAAAGTAGCTGTGTCAGGTCCAACTCCATCCTTAAAATCGATTCAGTTACCAGAAATTATGCAAATTAATGACCTGGGGTAATTCAGCGTCGTCAGCGAACATATCAAACTCTACCCGTTTCGGCTTGTCTTCTGCAGGTTTCACTTCGTTGGTTTTGTTCTCCGAAACTGGGGTGTCAACTGCTATCTCTTCCTTCAAGTCGCTTTTACTAGTAGAATTTCTGAACAAAAAAGAGTAGAGTTAAAAGCTTTGTTTATTACTTCAAATGATCCATCTTCTCTCTGAGATCTGCAAAGAAATCCTCTTCATTATTACCCGAATATTCACGTTCGGGAGTAGACATAATGCTGCTACCACTTGGACTGTCCGTTCCAACTCTGGCCTATATTGAAAAGAGTATACTCAAATTAGCAACTTGTAGATTTACCTTTTGAACTAATTTCTGAGCCTCACGAACCAGAGCTTCCTCATTATCGCTGTCTGCAGTTGATTGCTCGGACTGTGTCTTAAATGGTACATGTTAAATCTTTAATCACTCAAGTTTTAATCATCTAACCAAACGGTCAAATATTTTTCAAGCGCTTGTTCACTTATAGATCTGTTGTGAAAAGAAGAAACAACACAAGCTATAACAAGTAACACATGAACAAAAGAGAGGAAGGACTATGATAGAAAGCTTCAAAATTTAAGCTGAAATTATCGAGAGGAATTTTTTTTTCATCAAGATCTTGTAATATGAAAACAGTACCTGATTCGAGCTAGCGAAAGCTGGTTCAATATTTTTCAATAAGGCTTGTCTTCGCTTTCTCAACTGCTCAATCTTTTTCTCTTCATCTTCAGAACTTGAGTCCATGTTCCATTCAGCCACAGGCTCATCGTCCTAAAAAAAAAAAATACTTATATCATTTTCATTTCCCTTACAGAAACATCTTCTTTTTTGTTCCTCTTTCTATCATTACGATCCCTTGATCTATCACGACGATCGCTTCTATATTTATTACCACTTTCCCGACGTTGAGGGCTTCTAAAAAATACTTTGAAACATATTTATACAATTAGAAAGCGAACCGTCTGTTGTCACGATATCCAGGTCTTCTAACACCTCGACGATCGGGTGAGTCTCTTCTACGATCAGGAGACCTCCTCTTTCTAAGAGGACTACGTTCTTTGCGACGGTCTGGACTACGACGTTTATCATCGTCACGCCTTCTATCCTCTTCTTTACGGTCTCGATCATCTCGCTGAAACAATGATTGAAGTTGGAACAGTACTAAATGAAACATAAAATACCATGCGATCCCTATTTTCCCGATTCCTATCGCGATCCCGGTCTCTATCTTTATCTGCTCTTTCTTTGCTTCTTTCTCGACTACGACTTCGTTCTCTTTCCACTCCCATCCGTTTCTCTTCTTTCGCGGACTGTTCATTAGTATTTTCAGGTTCAACCGAAGATGATTTATCTTTTTTATGTTTTTTTTCTTTCTTATGCTTCTTTGATTTTTTATGCTTTTTGTCCTTCTTTTTTTTGCGTGCTGAAACAAAATGAAAGTTCTGGGAAGCATATGATTCTAAAAACTAACCTAATTCATCTTCGCTCTCAGATCGCTTTCTCTTTCTTGTTTCTACTTCTTTACAGACATCAGCTTCCATAGTAGGGGATGAATTATCCGAAGGTAATTCGCCTTCTTCATGAGTACTATCATGGGATTCAGCTTCGACATCAGCGAGAGGTACAGTCATACCTAAATTTCAAAGTTTCAAGAAGATTGATGAATGAAGAACCAAGACAAACAAAATTCCTTCATATCTGAATACACAATCTACAAGCCAAACATCGAACCTGCGCAAAATTAGCATTTCGCCTGTCACATACGCACATACAAATTAAAACCATGTAAGCTCAAATTTTCGAAAAAGAATTTCTTGCGTATGTGCAGACGCAAAAATGCGTACTTGAAATTTATTTCATTTTAACTACACTACTATTATAAAATACCATATTTGCATTTTTATTATTTTACCAGCATTAACATTCATATACAATATATTTCAAAATATCACGAAGGAGAATACACCTTTCTTGGACGACCGCGACTTCGCTTGGGAGGAGAAACTTCCTGTAGAAAATGCTATAGTTTTAGATTCATACTTGAAGACTACCGTTCCATTCTTCTCCTCGAGATCTTCTGCTACATCTATCGCTGGTTTCATATCATGTACATTGATAATTTCATCGTTAGAACTCGGTTCCATGTCTTTTAAATGCGCATGATTCATATGCAAAGTTTCTGAAAATATTTTGCTAATGCTATATCTTTACATTTTTGTTGTCGTTACCAACGATACTATCATCGGCTTGAACGAGATCATCAGGAATATTTTTTATGTCAGGAGAGTCCTCAGTTTTTTGGATAGTTGTCTCATAAGTATTTGAATATGAAGTAGAAACAGGAACTTGCTCATCAGGTACATGTACCAATTTTCGAAACTAAGACAAACTGAGAGTGCGCACGAATCAAGAATATACCTTTTTCATTGTTCTTCGCACAATCACCATTTCTCCATTTTCTCCCCTTCGTAAGAACATAGCTTGACGAATATTATTGCTGATGATTAAATGAGATTTTATTTAAAAATTAAAATACTGGCTTACTCGGGATTAGTTGTGAGACTATGCTTAGCTTTAGTTACTGAGATCGGAGTGAGTTTCAAAGCCTGTAATAATTGGAAATCCACCTTGTTTTGAGAAACGTACGTGTTTGTTTTTATCTGAATCTAGACCTGTCTCTGAAAGTTTGGGAGTGCCAGGATTTCTGAAGTATTGAAATACAGTTTCGTTTCCGAACAGAACAAAATTGAAAATTTCATGAAATGGATGAGAACACTAACATCATGTCCATACTAGCGGTTCCCCTGGGAGAACAGAATGGATCCGCCATAATATCGTCAAGAACGGATGAAATCCTTGACAGATACTTTCTTGCTACTTCCGATCTTCTGCAGTGCTGCATTCGTTGTTTCAAAATCTGAGAAAATTTTTATAGTACCGTTCCGTAATAAGAACATACTTCACACTGAATATCGATGCGATGAACTATATCAAATACGCTTTTTTCCTCGAGTGTCATTTTCCTTGAAATCTAAAAATCATGATACTTTGATTGCATCGAGTTGACAGGTACAACCGTTGTACTGATTGTGAGCATGTGTGCTACTGGATATGAGAAAATAAACAACTATATACCTTAGAAGGAGAGGTTACAGAGCAACACCCATCAGTTAGAGTGGAATTTATTTTACTTGCATCTTCAACGGTATCCATAAGCCACTGTTCCCCTCCATCAGTATCTGTTGCGTATGATGAAGTGTAAATGTACGGAAAACTCACCGACAGATGGCCCTGCTGTTATTTCATTTGAAGACTTATAAACATAACGAGTGGTTCTTTCAGGATGGGCTTGAACAGCATTTATGGGTGAAGTTTCCATATCTTTAGGATAATAGTTAATATTAATCATCTCAAAAATCATACTTTGAGGAATAACCCTTTTCACTCGCTGCAAGGAGCTGTTTGATTTTAGCAAGAGTTGTGTTCTTTGCCTTCTCGCTTCTAGATCTTTAATGAAAACATCCGGGGAGTAATAAACATATAATGGCTGTCTACACATCTCCAGTAAAGGGGAATCTTCTGAAACTTTTTGGTTAACTTCTTACTAACTACGACCTTGTCACCAGAATGAAACATATGATCTAAACAATAATCTACGACTACCGGCTTGATTTCTCTTCGTAATATATACTGAAAAAACTCAATAATTAAAGATTTCTCGGTTCGCTAACCCTCCAATCGTGAACTCTGACAAAAGCCGAGCAATGCAAATTTATAACACTTCCTTTTCCATGATTGCAACGTTGTTGGCGGTCATCAGAATGACACAAATAATACATATGTTCATCATATAAGCCCAATTTACGTAGACGGTAACGACTATGTTGTTGCAATTCTCTGATCCATTGCTTAATATTCACAGTTAAGATAAAACAAACAATTTAACACAACTTCGAATAGTGCTGCTTCAGGAAATGTGTACCTTTCCACTTGTAGCTGTCTTTGATGTTGATAATCAAGATGATCAATAAGTAAATCATGAGAAGGAGCTATTTCATTAGAATGAATTTCTAAATTGCATTCCACACAAATCGACTGAAGTAAAGTTTTTTTTATTTTTAAATGGTTATGACTAACGGGTGGGAAAGCCTTAGTTCTACGGAACTGAATACTGGGATCAGGTCTATTCGGTGGACAAACATAAGGTTTTCTCCGCATGGTTTGTAGTTTTCTTATTTCAAAATTTCTCCGGAAAATCTAAATGAAAACTGTACGTCAGTACTCAACAAGACGCATACCAGTTGATTCCGATGCCTTTCTAATCTTTCCTTGATAGTTTCGAACGAAGGGAAAAGATGACCTATATCAGCTTGCTCTGTTCGCACCTTCTCAACTAAAAATAAAACTCATATACATTTCACAGATGTTCTAACCGTAAGCGTTATATAGCGCGAGAAGATCAATATCAGTGAACTCGGCCATTAACCTTAGATCATAAATACAAACACGGAGACGGACCTTAGAATCTACAGTGAGAAAGATATAAGGTATCATTGAAAAAACCTGTTTATCATCAGCTACACAATCAGGTAGATGCTCTGCTTGAATTTCGATACTTTCGAAATTAGGTCCGGACCTTATCGATCCTGTACACCCAGGGTTAGCACATCGCCAAAAGTTGTAACCATCTTCGATCTAAAAACCACTTTTGACTTTATTTTGAATGGAGTCTCACATCAGCCATATTATAAATATATCCAGAGTATGCTAATTGCCGAGCACACTTTTTGGAAAAACATATATAGAATGTTTCTCCAGAAGTGAGTGTCTTAGGATGAGCCAGCAAATCGGGAAGATTCAACGTGAACACAGGCCTGCCATTTTTCATTTGGAGTACCGTGTTTTCATAGGCAACAGATTCATCGATTCCTAAAACAGTATTCACGAGATTTTCCTAGTATAATACCTTCTTCCACATCTTCCACAAAGCTTTGATCTACGTCTGCACTTCCAACCTCAATAAAATGACTCCCAACATCCTTAAAGTTTATAAATAAAAGGTTAATCCTGTCCGATTCTTACATCTCCTATGACTTCTTCATGGGCAACATCATCATCCCAAAGCTCTTCAGAAGTACCAAAATCAGCTAAATTGCTTGTATGATCATCCACGATTGTGGATGTCATGTTAGTTTAATCTTAAATATAAAGTCTTTCGAAGGTATACAACTGCTTAAATTGAAAAAGACATTTCATTTTCGATGATGAGATAAGTTATCCGCGGTTCACGGTTTTTTCATAGTAATGATCATAGATTTAGGTTTACACAAATTTATTACATATGAATTATCGCTCAAAGACTGTTGGAATCGAGAAGTTCTGGAAAGTATTGTGGAGAGGGAATGTTCATATCAATGTTTGAGACTGTCATAGTCATCAAACTACTCCTCGCCAACGGATATAGTTATCAACATTGTGATGGAGAAGATCTTAACCATACATCATCAAGACATGCAAACGAATAGACATTTATGGTTTTAGAATCAGCTATTATTGTTTGATTACCATTTCTGACTAATCCACGGTTTCTATTTACTGTATTAGACTACTGAGGAAGTTAGTGGCTGCTCTATTTCACACGATGAATATAAAGATTTAAAACCTTTCGGGATGTTTGGACTTTCACAACACGATGAAACAGATGAGCCTTGCTCATCTGAGTTTCTAAGATTAAACGTACGACTACTGAGCCAACACTTCAATTCGACAGCCTTAGATAGCATTCTCATAAAAAAAATGTCTCCTTTATAGTATACCTTCACATCATTACAGCCTCCATCTGTAATATTTAATATATTCTGCCCAACAGTAACAGTTACATACTTACCAATATAATATTAATAATATCTGCGCTTGTTTCAACTAAGCTATCATTTATATATTCTAATCAGTATGTTTCAGTTACAATAATTCTCTAGCGATCTTCGTTTCTCTCTACTACACTCAAATGTCTTGATTATTTGCGAGTATAAACCACTCCAAAACATTTCAGTCACCCTTTAAGCTCGCTAACAAAGACATGTACAGAAATAGAAAGTAAGTATTGAAGAGGCTAATGGCGTTTCCCAGGTCGCTGTAGGACCTTCACCGACGCCGCCCTTCAGTAAGTAATATGAACGGAATATATCGCTTAAAAAAAGGAATTCGTGAGCAGCTTCGATATTTGAAAAAGAACGCATCTATCCAATATGCATAGGCTAACTTTCGGATGAAATTACGATTTTTCATTTCGCAACTTCATCTCTGCCCGAAAAACCGCGTTGTAAATGGATAATCAACAGCTATTGCGTCAAATATCAGAAATTCTTCCATAGGTCTGAAAAGAAGGTGAAGAATTCAAGATCCTGCATGGAGGTCCTAGAGATAAAGGATAAGATGTAAAACACTCTGCCAACGTTTCTACGATTTATCTAATCTAGCTTTC